GGAACAACGATGGAGTTCTACATGCTTCTACCCAGTCCCCATTTGATCACTTGACCACTCGCTCCTTATAACATCCCTATTAAAATCTGTTTCCTTCTTGCTAGTGGTTATTACATATGTATATTGATGCATTGGATGCCTCCTGTACTTTGTTTCACAGGTAATCCTTGATTTTATTCCCTGACTGCTCATTTCTTCCTGTTACTTGTATGACTTAAGAAGGAAATCATATCTTTTCTCTCATATCTCTTCCATCAGTCTTAGTCCTCTATGATTGTACTGATCCTGACCACCCAGTTTGAGCAGCAGGCGGGTGTTACTTAGAATGCATGGCTCCATTTCAGGGTTCCCACAATTGTTAATTTTTGTCATGGGATCTCTCTTATTCCAGGGATCTCTCTCCCTTGACAATTACCGAATGAATTCATCAGGTTGTCTGGATTGTCTATTCCTCTCTGGATGACAAGCTGTATCACATCTGCTAATTGACTCCTTCTTTGGCCTCACACTTTCAATGACCATTGAAAGATATCATTTTCTTCACCATATGACAGTTTCATCTCCCTTACGATATAGCTTCCCTTTAGCCACCATTCTCTAGTCTGCTGTCTTTAATGGGTAGATGCCTGTTTTATTTCCTTACCTGTTTATAATGTACATCTCTAAACCCACCTGGTGGCTGGTGTTACCTCACAGGTGGAGGTGTGAATATGTGGGCACAGTCTACCTCTCCTTTATTTTGAGCCGGAACGTTGTACTACCACTATTTTGAACGAACCCCACCTTACATGGTTATGCAGTAGATTTCATATTCTGGAACTTCATTGTATATTACTACACCACTTCTCACAGGGTATATGTATTTCCTTAAATCTGCATCAAGTCAGGGGTAACAGAAAGTGTTAAACCCAAGTATTGTGGCTCTTAAAGTGCCCATTGTTGAGATAGGGTTTTCCACAAGGTTATTACAGTGGTATGTGTATATATATGTGTGTGTGTGTGTATTTCATTGACCATTCCAGAGTGTTTCTTCCATGGATTATCATGGAAAAAGCCAGCATTGGGGGAGTGTTTGTCAACTTTCCTGGTTTATGCATGTCAGCTATTGAAATTAGGTATTGCAATAACCTATTTCCCCTCCTCCAATAAAAGATCTTTGCAGCACTTAGGTCAAATTGGGTCTGTGTATCTCTCAAGTGTCTCCTCAAGTCTGGTGTTTCAGAAGTTAACATTTTCCTTACCTGAAAATGTATTTATGATAGATACCTCTCTTCACACCCTTCTTCCCCACTACAGGTGTGCAGATTATTCTTGCCTTGTTTAAGATGAAGTTAATATTGAGTGCAAGTGCTTATGGAAATTTACTGCACATGGAGGATGTGTCACTCTCCTGTTAGTGGAAGGCTATTGTCGCATGATGATTACATCATGCAACAGCACAGTTCACATTATAACGTGTCTTAGGTGGGAGATACCTCAAGTCTAGTAGCATGCGCAAAATCTCAATGGCAGATGCACGAGGAATAGCTGCTGTGTGCACAGAGGTAAGTATCTATCGGAAATACATTTTCAGTAAGAAAAATTTTCACATCCTGAAATGGTTTCTTCAAAATACACAGCAGCAACACACAAACTAATTCAAAAGGTTTTTGTCAGTAAGTACAGGAAACCAACAGAATAAAATTAGGTCTAATTGTAGGAAAATGAAAATGATATACTTAGATTATGATCTAAGTACATTTTTAAATTCTGTTATCTGGCTAAATTCTCAGAGTAATGTGATAGTTTTTGACTGGCAGTATCTAATGAATAAATTAGTAGAGTAACTAACATAAGCAAAAGGGGGAAATACTGCTGTATGAAGATCACTTTAATATGTAGATTTTTTTAGTACATTTATACAAGCAATAAATTATCAACATATGTTGTCTGTGTTCTCATTTCTATCAATTCATTTGTTTTCTCTAATCAAGTAATGACAAGATTAGATGCTAACTAAATGCTTCAATTAACAATAATACTTTCACTATTGAAATAATTAGGCTAGATTTGGAACCTCTCAAATTAATTATGTTGCCTTTTATAAGGAGCACATTTTTGTTTTATGTTAACTATAAATGTAGTGCATTTAATGAGATCTATTGCTTTGAAGTTTTTTCTTAATGATTAAGCTTGCTGTGTATAGCTCACATTTTTTTCATTGTTGTTTGGGCAACAAAGTTTCAACTGGTGTGTTTTAATTGTTTTTGAGCAATACAAAAGTTTGATACATATTCAGGGTAATTTTACCCCTATAATTGTTTTGTTTTCCAAGGAAATTGTTGCACTTTTATCCTCTACTCAGAGTAGTCTTTCCAAACTACATTTAATATTGTTATTGTAACAATGAAGGAATCTTTATCCAAACTACATCTAATCTTGTTATTGTAACAATGAAAGAATCTTTATCCAAACTACATCTAATCTTGTTATTGTAACAATGA